TTGAGAAAAAAAGAGGGGAGGGGAGGGGAAGAGAGAGGAGGGGAGGGGGAGGGAGAGGGAGGAGAGGGGGGAGGAGATTAAAAACTTATTTTACAAACATGATAAAAGAAACAAATGCAAATATTATCTCATAAGGTGGATTGGGATAAAAACATATTTAAAAATCAAATGGTACAATAGTAATTTTTTTCCTCTGATAAGTAGAAAACAAGGTGAAAAACTGAATTACGCAATGCGCAAATTACACTGGACCTCAAGTTTCCTGGCAGATCTTCAAAATTCTGTGATTGATTTTACCAAATATAATGTCCAATATTAAAAGTCCTTAGCATGCACACTATAGGTAGCCAAAACTCTGAGGTAGGAAATCTGAGCTCAAGTCCTTTAGCAAAATTAAACAAATCAAATTAAAATGAGAAAAACGTTTAAATGGAAGAGTATTTTTCAAAAAGGCAAACCAAAAACGAAACCCGTTGCCGTCTAATTGATTCTGAGTCATAGCGACTCTATAGGACAGCGTAGAACTGGCTAATAGGGTTTCCAAGGCTATAAATCTTACAGAAACAGACTGCCACATCTATCTCCCTGGAACCACCGACCTTCTGGTTGGCAGCTGAGCTCATTAACCACTGTGCTACCAGGACACTTTAAAAAAGGCAAAATACAGTTTAAATGGAAATCCAATTTAGCCAGCAATCTACATAAACTCTTTAATTTCTTGTAAGGAAAAGAGCAGAAAAGAACAATTTATATCCGAGGATTCCTTTGAGGCAAATAACTCTTGATGTGAAAAATAGTCATAACCCAGTGAAATACAGTTAGAAGTCCTCAACCACACAAAAACAAGGAGTAGGAAGCTGAGACCCTGGGTGGTGCAAACCGTTCACACACTGGACTGCTAACCAAAAGGTTGGAGGTTCGTCTACCCAGAAGGGCTTCAAAAGAAAGGCCTAGCAATCTGCTTTCAAAAAGTCAGCCACTGAAGCCCAGTTCTACTCTGACACACGTGGAGTTGTCCTGAGTTGGAATCAACTAGATGGCAACGAGTTAAGAAACTGACAATATTGCTCCTTATGTAGCTGTGATGTCTCAGAAACAGAGGCACAAGGTGGTTGGTTAGCTGGAATTCTTTGTAGAATAGCCCTTTGCCCCAGTCACCCCATAGATCTTGCCTGTCCTTTAAGACGGTGGTTCTAAACTTCAGCGATATCAGAATCGCCTCTAGAGTTTGGCAAAAAAATACAGTTTGCTGAATCTACCTCCAGTGTTGCTGATCTAGAAAGTCTGAGGTTAGGCCCAAGAATTTACATTTCTAAGTTCCCAGATGAAGCTGACACTGCATTTGTGGGGGCACATTATGAGAAACCCATTTTGAAAACCACTGCAATATGGTCTTTTTCTGACCAAATAGTTTTCTCCCTGTTCCCTAGATACCTATGTACGAACTACACTCCTCCCAATATTTCTGCACACACACACACATGCACAAACACACACACACACACACACACACACACACACACACACACGGCCCAGGTTTACCCCCTAAATCAAAATTTATTATATGAACATAGGGAGAGGTGATATTTGGTGCTGATCTGTGAAGGGCAGTGCTTGTTCACACAGGTGCAAAGCACTAGCCTCATCTATCATTTCTCTGAGTTCTTTCAAGAAAGCTCCATAGTCAATGGCAATTGTTGTCCAGTCACTGGAATTTTTAAAGTTTGTCTACAGAAGAAACATGAGTCAGTCTTTGTTCGAATGAGTAAGTTGGAAAAGAGCAGTCTACTACCCACTTAATTTACGACGTGGTCTTCTCAATATGCCTTTTACGAAACACTTATTCTGATCCTGCAGGTTCATTATATGTTTCTCAAAGAACTGATGAGCAGAAGTTTTCTCTTCAATTATTCTACTATTTAAAATGGCCCTAAGTAACTGGGAAAATTTACCAACGGCACAATTTAGCAAAAGATCCCAGAAAAATTTTGGGGGGGTTGGGGGTTTGGGAGAGAGTAATCAGGAAGCAATAATATTTAAAAGAATTATTCCTTTAAAATGTGTCTCTGTGAAGTGTTTATAGTAGTCATTGTATGGTGAAAATTGTTACCCACTAAATAGGTTCAGTTTTTTTCCCAATTTGTCCTTGAATACCTCAAATCTTCTTTATAAGTTTTCATGATCTGTGCTGTATTTAACTCTTGAGTTATGTAGTATTAAGACATTTCCGTTTTAACTATAATTCACATAAAAAAAAGAAAAGAAGAAAACATCAGTTGCTATTGAGTCACGGCGACCCCATGTGTGTCAGAGTAGAACTTTGCTCCACAGGGCTTTCAATGGTTGATTTTTCAGAAGTAGATCACCAGGCCTTCTTTCTAAGGCACTTCTGGGTAGACTCGAACTGCCAACCTGTCAGTTAGCAGCTGCAGCCACCTCTTAACTTTGGGCAGCAGCCAGGGACTCCATATTTCTCACTGTTGTTGTTAGGTGCAGTTGAGTTCATTTGAGGCTCATAGCGACCCCATATGACAGAGTTAAAAAAAAAACCATAGGGCTTTCTAGGCTGTAATCTTTATGAGAGTAGATTGCCAGGACTTTCTTCCAAGGAGACACTGAGTAGGTTTGAACCACCAACCTTCCAGTTAGCAGCCAAGAGCTTAACCGTTGCACCATCAGGGTCCCTTTTATAGCTCTCATAAAAAAATCTGTTGCTGTCGAGTCGACTCTGACTCATAGCGACGCTATAGGACAAAGTAGAACTGCCCCCTAGTGGTTTCCAAGGAGCAGCTAGTGGATTTGAACTGCAGGCCTTTTGGTTAGCAGCCGAGCTCTTAACCACTGCACCACTAGGGCTTTCATAACTCATATCTCTCACAGGTGACAGCAAATGCTAAAATGTCAGAACAATTGTTGGATGGGTAGGCTTTCCCCTCCAAAGGCCAAACCTACTCAAATAACATTACATTACATTACTATGCAAATGCAAATAGTATCAAAGGCCTGTGTGGCTCACAAAGAATCCATAAGCAGTAGATAATGCTAACCTGCTGTGGTAGTCATTAGTACCGCCATACTGGATGTTACCCTCAGGACTCCTTCTGACGGGTAGTGGTACTTTCTGATTCGTAGTGTGTAGACCCTACCATCAATGGTTTTAGTGTAACCCCAGATTATTATGAGCAAATATTTGAAAGACCTGGCACTCTCCCCTAAGGCAAATGGCTTTACAAGCTTTTCCAGGGAGGGCAGCTAGAACTCTGGTTCATTAAACTGTATTAATAATGTCTAATAGTTTCTATGATCTCCCCATCCTGGTAACTCAAAACATTTCATTAACACATCATTTGTTAATTTCACCATTCTAAGAATTCCATCACTTCTCTTATATTTCATTATCCTTCCATCACTGGCAGAACTGAAGTTTAGGAAATTTATAATAACTATGCAGGATAACATCATTTAGTGAGCAAATCAGTAGCAGAGAAAATAGATCAAAAACTGTTTTAT